CAGGGATGCAGCTTTTATGAGTCATCACACATGCTACTTTGGGCTTTTGGTAATGCAGCCACTTTTGACTCACCCATGTTCCCATAATTACCCTTCCTCCATGATTCCTCAAGTAATCCTAATAAATTCATCAGTTCAGTAAAATAGATGTGGCTCGATCATTTATTGGATCTGTCATTGGTGCCCTATGTGATATCAACAGATGTTTGCTCATATCTCCCCAGAAAGAGTCACACAACCTATGTACACAATAACAATCCTAAAATATGGTTTCTATTTCTGTGATAAAACCCCATGACCAAAAGCAACCGGGAGTGACAGATGTTGGCTTAAATCGTTTACATATACCAGGTGACAGTCCAGTGAGGGAATCCAAGCAGGAACCTGGAGTCAGAAAGTTAAGCAGATTCGATGGAGGTTCACCACATACAGAATTGCTCCCCATGGTTTCACAGCATTTTTGCTTATACAACTTAGAGGACCTTATCCAGCGGGGCACCACCAACAGTGAACTAGGTTTTCCCACATCAACCATGAGTCAAGAAAATGCCCAACAGAATTGCCCAAAGACTAATACTGTGGAGCCAATTTCTCAGTTGAGAGTTCTACTTCTCAAATGACTATAGCTTGTGCCATGTTGACAAAACCAACAAGGATACTATCCCATATGTTCTCTTTTACATTTTCATGCCTGAATTATGAGATGAACAAATAGTATCTCAGATGTCCTTAGTTTCTGTCCGTGGAATGTGGGGTCAGAGTCTTTTTTCTTTTATGGCTTCTTACTGGTATTCCAGTGTCCTTCTACATAACTGGGCATAGGTCACATCCTGCGGTTCCTTGGATGTAGTAGCCTGGAGTGGGACAGAGTTGGAGGAAGGTATGTGCTTGGCACTAGCAACTTCTGGAGCTGGTATGAACAGAACCTACCTGAGGGTACATCTCTCTGTTCTCTCCTGATTGATTATTCTTCGTGTCCAGTACTTTTCCTGACAATGGGGAAGGAGAGGTACTTCCTGCTCTATGAAGCCTGGAGGGTTTCACCTGGGCATACACAATTCTCTGGGGTTCTTCACCAGATGGCTTCTGCAGCAAGGAGGCAATGAGATGGATAAAGTGACTCCTAGTTCCATTCAGGATCTCCTTTAGACAGAGAAAGCCTTTAGAAATTTAATTCACATCATATCATTACTAATGGAGTCTTCATAGGCTTCCTGAGACCTTGGGGAATCTGCAAGTGTCCTTCCCATAGTTCTGGCCTGTTATCCTCACACTAACTCCTGTTTTCCCTGATCCAGCAATATTCTCAGCTTCCTGTCTGAAGACCTTGGAACCTTCTGTATTTTCTGCTGGTTAATTAGGTGTCTGTGTGGACCTCTTCCGGTATCTCCTCAGAAAAGTCTTCAGTAAAAGTCTCAGTAAAAGTCTTCCCTTGTGATTCACACCGGCTCTGTGTACCTCACAGTACATCCATTTTCTCTGTTACCCTTTTCCTAATAGCACACCACACCACAATCGTTCTTCAGTTATACACATCTCATTTCTTAGCCTTGAGGTGAGCTTGGAGTGGATGAGGAACTGTGTTCCTTGATGTGTTTGAAGCCCTTAAGGAAAGCTATAACAAGAAGATGCTCTATGTGCTAGCTTATAGTGCTGTAAGCCTTAGTTTTGTAAATGTGCCTACTTTTCTGAGTTAGTGCACAATGCTTCCACTATTTCTTTGTATATCTGTTCTAAAGCTTCCCTCCCTGCCTTGTGGCTGCCAGCCATCACCTAGCTGATCTTTATCCTGGCTCTCCTCAGACATGGCTTTCACTCCATTTCCCTTCTCTATTTTCTTTTTTTTCCTCCAGGAAGCTGCTGAGATTTACAGGTTACCTTTGATTTTTTTTTCAAACACTAATGAAATTGTTCTCAAGCTTAAAATAAAGAGGCTTTCTGTGGATGACAGGGTGAATGAGTATAGGAGGATCTTGAGAAATGAGGGCACAGTGACTCATATGTCCTTTTAAGTCTTTAGACACATGCTAAGCAACAGACAGATGACACACATCCAGAAATGAGACAGGAGAGAAGGGTCATGTAGTCGTAGTGAAACCAAGAAGAAGAGATCATAGTTCATAGAGACAAATTCTTCCAGAATGGAGGGATCAGCTGTGACTGATACTGCCACAAAGAGGG